ATTGTATTCGTTTAATTAATAGGTATAGTAAACTATAATAATAAAAGTTGATTAAGTATAGTAATATAATTAACAAACATGCATGTTATAATGCAACAAGTCACAACTGACAACATGGTATGTTAAAGTATGTAATTTTATTCGAAAAGTTACACGTATGCAAAATGCAAGTCGTGTTTAATACTATAATGTATATATTAATGTTATACCTACTTACTATTGTTTCATTGTATGGGGCATGGGCCTTGAATATTCATAAAATTAGTATCTAACGGTTTTTTTTACTTTATTGATTTTTATTTGAAAAAATCATCTAACAATACATCATACTTTTAAGTCTGGTTCAAATGTTAGAAATCAATCCTTGCAGCCATGGTACCATGGTGAATCGGAGTTAAATAATAATTAATATAATAAATAAGATAATTTTACTTTCACTCTATAGTTGTCTTACCCGTTTTCGCGTTATGGCAGTTGTTATAATCGTAAAAGATAAGACTATTACGTATACTGCAAAGAGTGAAAATAAAAATTATGTTTTTAAAAAGTAATATCAGTAATATCACCATATATGTTATAATTAGGGCTAAAGACTTTTCTAATATCCATTCAAAACATAGCTTAATAATATAAATGAAATCTGTTTCATAATACCAGCCACCAGGGGTCTACAATAATTTTTTCACATATTTTGCATGTTTTACTTTTTTCATGTGTTCTTATATTTTGTCATATTCTCATATTAAATATATTTTTAAAAAATAATTTAATTTATCATATATAGAGTAATATTCAAAGAAATTATTAATGTGGGCCGTGTTTTCTTCGTCTACGGGAATATTTAATTGAAATATGAACCACCGATATGATTTTATCAATTTTAATCACACATTATTATAACTATTAATTACATACTATAAATTTGGGTATTATTTTTTTTTTTTAAATAATTATTGAAAATAGTATTGATGYATGAAATTTTCGTTTTTTTTTCAAACAAGCTTAACAAGGATTAACAATTTGAATGTATATAAATATTCAATGAATGTATCAAATTTTTATGCTACGTATACATTTATGTATATTTTTCACAATATAAATTAATACAGAATAATATTATTAAATATAAAACAAAATGTTTTAATGTTTAAATGTTACGAAGTTCCTAACCCTAGTTATACCCTAAATCGAGATTAAACATTTTTTTTTTTTTAAATACAAGTGAAAAATAATTATAAAAGTACCACAATTCATATGATATGTATTAATATTATATTTTATATATTGCATATTATTATATTCGAATTAAAATCATTGGCCATATATAGTCTTATACAGATATATTAGTAGTACTGTAGCTGAATTAAGTTTATCAAAAAAATTCCTATGAAGAGTATAATATTTTGCATGTATACTTATAATTTTCAAATATATTATGTTAAATTTCGATAACCAATTACTAATTGATTTTGAATTCTGGATGCATAACTCATAAACAATAAAACCATAGATAAAACCATGACTAAAATTATTATCATTAATATGACTATAATTAAACTAATATAATACATATTATGATATATTATAATTTGTATACATTAACTTCGCTCCAATAGCTAATGAATGAAGGGTTTGTTTCAAAATATAATGATATAATAATAATTGTCGAATCAGTTTGAACACCGTATAATGTCGAACAATTTACATATTGTAAAATACTTGAAATAGACTTTTTCCAAATTGAACCTTGAAATAGATTATTATAAACCGTAAAAATATCTAAGTCTACTGATTGTTTTTTCCACATGTGGTATATTTGACACTTATAATCATCAATCCTACACCATTAGCTATTATGTATTGAAGCTTAAAATTTTAGAGAGGTACATAATAGTGCGTTTACTATTTATGCCATTTTCATCAATAATAAACACCAACCACACGATTTTACGGTTCATGATCATATACCACCAA